GCTACGTGACTTAGTACAAGTCATGTTTCACCCATCTGAGCCTGAATGTCCTCACCAATAAGGACAAGATGGTAATACCCAATTTTTAGGTTGCTCTTACAATGAATCCTTGCTTTGCTCTTGGATCACTGTCCTGGGAGCACTGGCTGCCATGTCAGGAGGACACTCAAGCAGCCAGTGGAGAGGTTAATTTGACGTGGAGCTGAGTCCTTGCTGAAAATTAGAGAAGAACCGAGGCCTTCAGCCAAAGCTGTGAATGAGCTTCTCTAGATGCAAACCCCCCAGTCCCAATAAAGCCTTCAGGTGACCACAGCCCACGTGACATCTTGATTGCAAGCTCATGAGAGATTTTGAGCCAGACCCACTCAGTTCAGCATCTTACACAATCCTGCCCCATAGAAACTATGTGAGGTGATAAGTGCTTACTGATGTTTTAAAGTGCTAAGCAATATGTTATCAGTAATAGATAACAAAGAAACATAATGGATATTATTAATAATAGATAAGTGTGCAGAAAAACAATGGTTCACTTAATTTTTAGGCAAGTCAGAATTGTTTTTCTGTAGCGTGTGTGATGTTTGAAACTTCAAACTTAGTAGGTCCAAGGCTGGGTTTGTAGAGGACAAATGTAGGCACCTTTGGTCAATTTCTGACTTCTATCTATATTAGAGAGAAGCTGCACTGAGAACAGAAAATATCTTTGAATGTTTTGGTGAAGGCATAACTTGCGTGCTTCCAAATATTTTCTCAGGTGCTTTGTGACTGTTCCTTTGAATTTCACCATTTGTCTTCACTTATCTCAAAAAAGTGAAAAGATCTGAATGTAAGATACATTATGGGAAAAAATGTTGGAGGAATCGGTACAGATTCCTCTTCTTATTTTCGACAACTGCATATCCAGGAGCTGTGATTTTTCTTTTTAACATGAAGAGACTATCCAAAGTATTTCTTGTTTATGTAGTTAGATATGATTTTAGTTGTAAAATAAAAAGAGCTAAAATCCATTAAGTATTTTCATGTATCTGTGACTTTAATATTGCATCATAGTTTAAAAATTTTTAAAGAAATTTGACAGGGAAATACTTAAAAATAAAAAAGTATATCATTTATTTCATAAAAGTAATATAATCAACTTGTAAGTGAATCACAGACAGTGAAACTGTTTCCAGCTAACAGTTAGCATCACTATGTTGTCTTTATCTCCATTAGGAAGTGCCAATGAATCCTCTGAAACTTGACAAGTATCTGTTACTTTAGGTCATATTTTCATCACTAATATCTTTTTATAAAAATTTAAATGTCTAGCCCCTAGCAGGTTTGGCTGTGGATAGAGTGTCAGTCTAGAGACTGAAGGGTCTCAGGTTCAATTCCAGTCAAGGGCACTTATCTAGGTTGCAGGCTCGATCCCTGGCCCTGGTCAGGGGATGTACAGGAGGCAACTAATCGATGTGTCTCTTTGACATGGATGTTTCTTTCTCTCTTTCTCTCTCCCTTCCACTCTCTTTAAAAATCAATGGAAAAATATCCTCAGGTCAGGATTAACAGCAACAACAAAACATTGAAATGTCTAAAAATACTTCTTTCCCCCCTCAGGGAATTGCTCCAAAGCTGGAATTTTCTACAACCTCAGTGATTACTGAATGTCTAATAAGTTCAAGGAAGTGCCGAACTCAGGTTAGTCACTTAAAGTATTTAATGGTTTAATTTATTTGTTCACATTTATGGGCATTTGGCAAACAGTATTATTATTATTTTACTGCAGCTGTTTTCACTTTTTTTGGTCAATCTTTAGTTTAGGTAAAACAATTATCATAGGTTTTAGCAGTTTGGTTACATTTTTTTAAAACATTTTTTAACTTTATTTTTATTTTTGACATTATTATGGATGTCCCCATTTCTCCTCCCCAACTTTGCCCAACTCCACCCACCCCCTGCCACCCCTTCCCGCTTGCCATCACCACATTGTCGTCTGTGTCCATGAGTTATGCATATATGTTACATATGTTCTTTGGCTACATCTTAATAAATGTGAGAGTGAAAGGTCTACTACACATGATAGATGGTGCCAGGATATTATTTTTTTTTTAAAAAAACACGACTTTATGGGCCTTTCTTTAATGCCAAGAAATGAGGCTGTCAGAAAGATGTTGAGAACAAGACGTCCCCCGAGAACTAAATTGGAGGCTTCTATAAATCTTACAGAGGATAAAGGTTACTGCAGAACGTTCCAAGGATACCTTTTTAGCAAATATGACTGAGGTCTCAGGCTGGGATATTGGTGTTTAGTGAGTTATGTTTTCTTGAGTGTCTCTAATTCCTTAAGGGACTATTGCTCAGTTTGGCGAGGTTACTGTTACTATCAGATCAATTGAACCTTGGACACTCCAGCCTAAGTATCTTCTATATTTTTGAAAACTGCTTTTAGTAAACTGAGATATCCGGCTCTAATATTCCATTCTGGTCTAACTTCTTGAATCACCAGGGTCACCTTGCTACCTTGTCCAGTGCTTATCTCTTACTGCCTAGGCATCACTCATATGTGGTTGCATTATGACCAGGTAACAATGACCAGCCTGTGATGAAGAGCCAGTGATATATAAAGGCCTGAGGGCTCAAGCAGGGCAGGACGGGGCCT